ACTGATGATAATGGAATGCATGGAGGGATGGATAATGGGCTCAGTGTGAATGCTTACGGGGGATTTTGCTGGTGATAGAACTATACAGACATACTGTGTCCCCCCTGCATAAATATTGCTGGAGGTAACAGTTGAGTCACTGTATTGTCGAAGATTTGTCTCGCATTTGGTCCTCCTGTGTTCGTCCACTAAATAGCTGTTACAAACACGACTGAAAACGCATACTCTCATTCCGATTTAACGATTTATTTTCCAGGTACTTTCTTTACTGTGTTTGCTATTTTTGTTTCACATCCGTTGTTGAGAAGTTTATCCTCCGAAGCTGAAGCAGGTCGAAATAATATTTTAAGTATTCATCTCGTGTCTCAAAGAAAACAGCTCCTGACAATTACAGCATTAGCGGTGTATGTTTTTAGAACAGTTATTACAGTGAAACTGAAACTGTACAACCAGTCCGGCCAGTTTAATCTAATTCCCCACAATGTATGGAGTTAGCCATGCATACACCCCCCCCCCTTCTCTTCCCAGGGTGACACTCTTTACGTGTACCAGAACTTGGGATTAAATCTCCCCCACCCTAGCTCATCTTAGACCACACAGAGCCGTCTCTACTGGGAAGGGATTTCAATTTTGTGGCAGTAAATTTATCAGGTGTGGTGAGCTCCCAGGGAAAGGCCGCCATGATAGGTTGCACACGGCACTAAGGTACGTTCAAGCATTGGAGCGTAACCGTTTTTAGGTGTGGGATTTCAGGTTCTCACAGCGGCGAGTATATTGTGCGTTGTAGCGCCGTGTAGTCTACCGACGTTTAAGAGGTTCTTGCTGCCTCCATCATCAGGGCGATGATGATAGACTTCTTTTTTTAGGTATGAGCTTTAGCGTAAGTGAGGAACACCTATCAGGTCCGTCCATGTCTCTCGAATTGACCGATTTTCATGAAAATTGGTATGAAATTCCGAAATATGAAAATGCCTACAAAATTTTGGTTAGAAGTCATGAAGAGAAAATGCTACTCGGAAGACCTAAGCGTAGATGAGATGACAATACTAAAATTGACCTTCACGAAAGAGATTGGTTTGATCTGGCTCAGGATGGGGACCGGTTGAGGGCTCTTGTAAACACGGTACATTTTAGTAGGATTTGAGGTTCTCACGGCAGTGAATACGAAGATGGCTGCCCTGATGACGGAGGCAGCAAAGAACTCCGAAACATTGGTAAACTTCTGCCATATTACATGATGCTACAAGCCAGAAGACAGTAATCTTTTGTATTTCTTGACTGACAGCGATTATTAGTTTCCAAAGACTCTGCTTCGTGGAGTTCAGTTTTGTATTTTCCAACCCTGAGATCCATTTATTTGAATTCGAAACCCTTTAATCCTAAAAGTCCTCCGTACCAATTTTCGCATTGATTTTATGAACAGACGTGCCTGCTTTCCACCCAGGTGGAACCAACAGCCGGTTGCTGCAGTTTTATGTTGAAATATGTTGCCTCGTCGAGATCAGCAGTTCTGATATCTGCCGTTGGGGGACGGCGCTGAGGTTGCTTCATGTCGTTCCTAACCCCAAAGCGCAGATTGGTTTTATATAATTTCTATGGCAAATAGAAAATCGAAATTGAAATACAGCACGTGGCTCGAACAGTTGGTTGTGCGGCGAATGCACGTGTGTTTAAATGACGTTCGTAATAAGTACAGTGCGGAGCAGTATAAAGTAGCCCGTGTCTCTAAATAAGCTGCTGACCGTCCAGAAGTTTCTCGAAATTAACGTAATGTTTCCATGTGAAAGGGAAGTATTTAAACCAACTAGCTAAGCAACTAAATTACTCCTTGACGCAGAATGTTTCTTGAAAACTTTATACTCATTCACCTGTTCAAGAATGTCCCCAACTTTATAAAACCTAGTTGTTCATTACTGTATTTGTAACAATGTACCATTGGACTGTACCCTAATCCAGTTTAATCCAGTCTGACCCCTCAGATCTTATTTTTATAAGGTCTGTTAGAATATTATTCTGGTTTTTCTAAGAAGTCTCGTCCCTTGACGTTTTCCAGCTAATATTTTCGATGCATTTTACATGTCCCCTATCCGTGGTGCGTTTCTCCTCAGACCCTTAATAAAACGCATGATTCAAATAACTTTCCCCCCTCTGTGATCATGGAAGTCGTAATCATCTAACATTCTTGTACTTTTTAAAGTTTCCTTTCTTTTTTTAATATAGTTTGTGGGGTGGCGTGGAATGGGATGTTAGAGGTTGCAATTACTTTTATAACACTCACTATCACTCTGACTGTAGCTGCACATTAATCTAGTCTCCATTCCACCCTCCTTCTCCCCAATTATCTCTTCTACTCTGTTTACTGTAGTTTGCAATTCAATGAGATACCCTATACTGTACATAGTACTAGAACCAGCCGAATGGGGCGCAGCTGTCGCTTTGGTGTGATGAAGTAACCAAGACTTATTACCGCACCCTCTTGTTACGCGCTGCCACTGTCAGAGTCGCCATTTTTAACTACGCTGGGGGTACGCTCACCGAAGAATGAAGTCGCCCCGACTGTATGCATGGAGGATTTAACGTATTCAGTGCCGGTCACGTCCCCTTCCTTTACCGAATGCAGTTTAAAACTTGTCCGTCATGAACCTCGAAAATATTTATTAAACTCCATGTGGTCATTAGTTCTTGGTCAACTAACTCTGAGGCAAAGAATCTTCTTTAGATATAAATCGTCTTGTTTTAATGTAATCCTGGAAGGTCGTCGCCGTATTAACAAAAGCCCGCCATTGAAAAACCAATTGAATGAGCCCATTCTTCTACACTGTGTATCCTCAAGATCCACTTCTCTGTTATTCTCCAATTATTATTATACTTGTCAGGTGGGCTGTTTGAATTTTTTCGACCAACATTTTTTGTGCGTTTTACTTCGTGCTACACGTCTTCAAATCATAAAGTCATTATTCTGACGGTGTTATGTGAAGAGTGGAGTCTACAAATTACGAAAATTCGTATTTAATTTTCTAAATTCTCAGTATCGTCTCTGTCAGAACCAAGTGTCTTACTCAAAACTCCGTTTTGGAACAAATCCATAAAGAACCCGACCACGGTGGGTCTAGGGAACAGATTATGCTGGGTTACATTGACAACGTTAGTCAAATATAGGATACATTCAAAAGACACCGCCTTCATAAAAGTTTCTATCACAGTTTTACGAAAATTTAAAAACAGGAGAGGGTCTTCAGTCTTACGGCTGGCTATTGACATGGCAGGTAGTACGGAAATTAGAGATAATATCACGCGCTATCAGAACACTTTTAACTTCAGATGCTACGAAAATGTATTCCTGCGCAATGCATTACATTTAAACCATGTCACGTGGAGACCACCATTCTTCAGCTCCAGTCTTAAATTGAAAACCACATTTCACTTCGCTACTAGGATGTTGGATGAATATAAAGTATCAGCTTAAATGAATGTAGCTTTTACGGTGAATGGTAGGCTTACCGAAAGTTGGGAGGGGGGGTAATG